TTAAGGATTAAGATTCAACATATGAGTTTTGGAAAGACACAAATATTTGGACAATAGCAGATATATCCACATCTTGATTATGATGATGATTTCATGGGTGTATGCATATGTCAAAACTGATCATATTATATATTTTAAATATGTACAGATCCTTATGTCACTTATACCTCAATAAAGGTATTTAAAATCAACTATACTATTAAAAATTCTGTGTTAGGCCTTGGAAATACTAGATAAATATTTAAAAAGCCAAACTCTGCTTTCTGGGAGCTCAGAATTTAGCTAGTGAGATGGATGGAAATTCAACTTAATATAATACAGGCTGGGCATGGTGGCTCATACCTGTAATTCCAGCACTTTGGGAGGCAGAAGCTGGAAGATTGCCTGAGCCCAGAAGTTCAAGACCAGCCTGGGTAACATAATGAGATATCATCTCTACAAAAAAAAAAAATTATCCAGGCATGGTGGTATGCACCTGTAGTCCCAGCTACTTTGGAGGCTGAGGCAAGAAAATTACTTGAGCCCAGAAACTTGAGGCTGTGATAAGCCATGATTGTTCCACTGTATTCCAGCCTGGGTGACAGAGTAAAACCTCAACTCAAAAAAAAAAAAAAACCCAATAACTATGATATAAATCAAAATTTAAAAATTCATGCAATCGAGAGAAAGAAACTATTATGGGAGCAAAGAAAAGAAAAGTAGATGAATTTATTTTTCTTGGAGTTTAGAAGATAGTGACAGCTAACATTGCTTACTATGTGCCTGACACTAAGTACGTTAACTTCTTGAATTCTCACAACCCTTTGAATGAGTACTGCCATTATGCTCATTTCACAGATGTGGAAACTAAGGCTTTGAATCCAGAGAGATTGGTTCAGGAGTCCATGCTCTTACCCACTACAAGTACTCCTCTCTGAGTAGTGCCACATTTGATTTGGACCTTGAAAGATGAATATAATCCCCCAGGAAAAGAAGACCATTTTAGATAGAATGAGCAGTGTGAACTATGGTTATGAAAATATACTGTGTGTTTGAAAAATGACACGCAATTTTCTCTGGGTATATTTTGGGGACTGGTGGAAAAGTAAGTTGAAAAGGTAGATTTGGGTCAGGGTGTGAATAGTCTTGAATTATTTACTAAAGATTTGTACTATAATCTTCAGGAAAAAGGAACCACTAAAACATTTTGAACAAAATAATAATATAAATAAATTTATGTCTTAGAGAATATGAAGCCAGACCCAAAAGAACTGGAATTATCTTTTGGAGAAAGGGTCCCTTGTAGTACAGACCTCCCCCACTAAGTGAGTGTTCTAGGAACCCACAGGTATCAGTGTACCAGCTATCATTTTGTGAGAGGCTGTGTTTGGCTTCAGTGAATTTTTTTTTTTTTTGAGTTGGAGTCTCACTCTGTCACCCAGACTGGAGTGCAGTGGCCGCTCCGGGCCACCGCAGCCTCGATCTGCTGGGCTCCGGCGATCCTTCCACCTCAGCCTTCCAAGTAGCCGGAATTACAGGCATGCGCTACCACGCCCGGCTGATTTTTTGACTTATTGTAAAGATGAGGTCTCGCTGCCCAGGAGGGTCTTGAACCTGCGGGCTCAGGCAATCCACTCACCTCAGCCTCCCAAAGGCGCGGGATTACAAACTGAGCCACCGAGCCCAGCTTCATTGAATTTTTTTGTGGCAAACAGGTGAGTGGTTCTTCCACCATGACAATGCACTTGACTGCATCACCCTGAGTATTCGGCAGTTTGTTTGTTTTTTACCAAAAATGGCATGGCCCCCTGCCCCACCATCTTTATTCACCCAATCTTGCCCCAAGAGACTTCTTTTTGTTTGCTTGTTTCCTCAAAGGAAAAAAGTCCTTAAAGGGAAACTTTTTGCCAATGTGGAAGAGGTGAAACAAAAAACAACAGAAGCACTAAAAGGCATCGAAATTGATGAGTTCAAAAACTGTTTTGAGTAGTGGAAAAGGCATCTAAATAGCTGTATTGCATCAAACAGAGAGTACTTTGAACATGACTAAAGTGAAAACATGTAAGAATAAATACACAATTTTTTTTGAGCTGGAAATTCACTCTGTCACCCAGGCTGGAGTTCAGTGGCACGCTCACGGCCACCACAGATTCAATCTGCTAGGCTCAGGCAATCCTTCCACCTCAGCCTTCCAAGTAGCTGGAACATGGTGCCATACAGATATATGGCACCATGCCAAGCCAATTTTTTAATTTACTGTAGAAACAAGGTCTCGCCAAGTTGCCCAGGCTGGTTCCGAACCCCTGGACTCAGACAATCCTCTCGCCTCACCCTCCCAAAGTGCTGGGATTATAGGCATGAGCCACTGTGCCCAGCCAACACACAATTTTTGATAAATAAATTCCGGTTTTTTAGTATCCCTCTCATAAAAAAAGAAAGAGAAAATCAACTTGTCTACTGTTAAATGAACATCTGACAAATTTCATGTGAATTCATTCTCAAATAAAAGGTCATTTGATTGACAGATAATGCACTAAAGTCACATTAAATCAATGAACAGACTACCTTGTAAATTTAGGTTTCAGACTCAGAAGATTTTATTCACTGGTCACTGAGTCCTGTAGACTAGGGATCCCCAACCTCCGGGCCAGGGTCTGGTACTGGCCCGTGGCCTATTAGGAACCAAGCTGCAGAATAGGAGGTGAGTGGTAAGCAAGCAAGCGAAACTTCATCTGTATTTTTAGCCTCTCTCCATCACTCATATTACAGCCTGAGTTTTGCCTTCTGTCAGATCAACAGTGGCATTAGATTGTCATAGAAGTGTAAACCCTATTGTGAACTGCACATGTGAGGGATCTAGATTGCACGTGCCTTATGAGAATCTAATGCCTGATGATCTCAGGTGGAGCTGAGGCAGTAAGAATCTAATGCCTGATGATCTCAGGTGGAGCTGAGGCAGTAATGCCAGCACTGGGGAGCAGCTGCAAATACAGATTAATGTTAACATCAGCAGTGAGGTTTGACTGTACATTCCCTCCTGTACCTCCCTGCAATCTGTGGAAAAATTGTCTTCCATGAAATCAGTCCCTGATGCCAAAAACATTGAGATCTGTAGACCTTCCATTACTTCCACTTATGTTCTTGTGCATTTGTAACAAACAGAAAATTACAGAAAACCACAATTGGAAAGAGAGAAGCAGAGTGACCCTTCTCCAGGGCCCTAGTGGAATTTAGTTAAAAACTAGTCCAAGTTTCTCTCACTGACTTAAAGTGAAAAGTCTGATGATAACACTTTAACTTTTGTTTCTTGTCAAAATGATTTTTACTTCCTCATACATTCATGTTAGATGATAAACTGAAGATATGGAAAATCTACCAATACCTATGTCCAGACACGTTGCTGGCTCCGTGAAGTCACATCCGACACAATTGGAAGTAGAGTCCTCTCCTGTGCCTCGACAAAAAAGTGTAAGAAAATCCTAGAAAGAACAGCATTCCTCTAGGTGAAAATATAAGAAATTATTAGCTAGCCATGGGCAATTCACACCCTCCATGGAAGCTTGAAGAATCATTATACTCACTTTCTCTGGGATTACTAAGTGAGTAGAGGACAAGAAACAAAAATAAAACATCATTCTAAAGTAAGGGCACGCCATTAGCAGGAGGATCAAATGCTTGGATACCCATGAAGTCTCAAATATAAAAATTAGAAGTCCCTGGAGGGAATCTCATGGACAAAGGAAGAAACAACAAAGAATATTATATACATATTAAAAATCTTAGGTTATATTCTTATTTCTGCCACTGACTCATTATATCATATCAGGCAAACTTCTTAATTCTTCACTTTAAAAAATGATACAATGCAACTTACTCAAGCTCTACCTTATACTACCTGGACAACTTGTAAAACATACAGGCATCTTTTACTGCAGATAGATATTGATTTAATCTATCTGGGTAGACCCTAAACATCTGTGGGGATGGGGGTTGTTTTTTGTTTGTTTGTTTAACTAGAGGCCTAAACCATTCATATCATCTTACAACATAAGAAATATTACATCATATTTTGCAAACTCTCTAAGAAAGCTCTCTTTCCTCTCCTCTCTCTTTTCATTCTCTTCCTACCAACTTAACCAGTAAAATATTTGAAAGGCATTTTTGATGGGTATGGTTTTCTCTACCCAAACTATCAATAAATTTATAGATTATTAACACTAACACTAATTTCAGTTAGGACCAGTGAGTAGTGTTTCTTTTACAATTTTCCAAGCATTGTAGACTGACCTCTGTTTTCTAAACATGTCTCCTAGTATTTTACTATATGCCCCTGGAGAAAATGAAATTTAAGTCTATCTCAATTTACCCAATTAATGAGAATTAAATACCAAAATTTTTCATTTATACATTGTCTCCCCCAGCAGATCATATTCTCCTAAAAAACAAGAAATGTATGTTTCACATCTGATCATGTCTTAGAGCAATGCATACTTGACACTGGAAAGGTGGAGAGACGAATGAATGGATAGAAGGAAGGATGGATGGGTGGATGGACAAATATACAGATTTCAAACATGAGTAAGTATGTGATTGAATGAATTCATGCCCTGATAACAATTAGAAATTGATGCCAGAGTTAGAAATATAAAATATTCCCAAGGGTTGAACAAAATTGTCTAATTATAATTGTCTAATAAACTAGAAAAGTAAAAATAAGGATTATGTCACTACACACAGACCTTTTAGTACCCCTCCCACCCTTCCGATCCCCAAAAGCTCTGGAACTAGTTGACTTACCAGTACTACCCACTTGTGGTAGAACAATTCTTGTCACCAACACAGCACTCACACCTCTCCACCATTGAGATGACACATGTGGTCCCCAAAATGTTCCACCAGGAGGTGTTTTGGGGTCTGCTAACTAAGAGGGGGCTTCCAGACACATGGAGGAGTTGACACACATGAGGTCACAGAGCCACTGCTTCTCCCCCTTCAAAAGAAACTACTCAACTCCATTTATTTCAGAATCTAGAGGAAGTTGACAAAGTGTTACAGCAGCACAGCACAATATGTGGTGGAGAGTTTTCAGTTTGCTGGCTTGGTTCCCCTTACAAGGTAAGGACTTGAAACGAAGGATTTGATCTAATGTTTTGCTCTGCTGACCTAATGTTTTGCCAAATCTACCAATCAGTCAGTCAATGACATGCACGGAGGACTCACTGCAGAAGACTATTCAGGTAACTTTACTAATACTCTTCAAGCTGTGCTCAAATAATACATCTCAAAGATGTTGCTGCATTATTTAATCTCTTGTTCAATTGCTAAAGAGTATAAGAAGCATTATTATAGAGTGTATTTCTGTGGGATCTATGTTATGGCAAAGCGTTACAAGCTTACCAGGCTCTGTTTTTTAGGAGTATGTCAGTTGAAAGAGTATCAGTTTGGGATTTTAAAACTTTCTAGCTGTATAGACCTTAGCCAAATAATTTAATTTCTCTGAAACTCAGTTTCTGCATCTTGAAATGAAGATGATAACAATGTTTGATCTACTAAACTTCCTGGGTTGTTATAAGGATAAAATTTCAAATGTGAAAGCACTTTGGAAATGATAAAGCGCTACACAACTCTTACTCAGTTCAGAGTCTAATAATAATACCAATGAAAAACTTGTGCTTATTTTTAAAAAGTCAGTTATACTTTACAGTTTACCATAACTTTCAAATTTGTTTTTGATGCTTAATTCTAATGTGGCATTATAAAAATTAAGGAAAGATACAGTACCTTTTTTACCCAGAAGTGGGGGTGGTATACAAAATGGTTCTTGGTATCACTGAGTCTCTGATTGAAACTTGTATCAGATTTATGCAAAGGAAATCACTCATAAATCCAGTGCTTGCTTTTTGGTGTGTTTATTTTCAAATATTGAATCTGTAGTTCTGTTTCATGAAATAAATGTATCTATCCTTCCAAATCTGCCTTCACTGTAGACTAGTATCCGAAGGATGCTATTTAAAAAAAACAAGATATCCTATTTTACACAGTACTTCAATTCCTTATTTTATAAGCATCAATTAGTACCTTCTTTTTTTTTGCTCTCTGTGCCCTGAGGCACTTAACAAAGATTTAATTTTGGTAATGAATAATATTAGTTTCTTCAATAAGTGGTTTAAAGAATAGCTATTGCATTCAGAAAGAGTACATTTAGACAATGAAAATTAGAATAATTTCAATTATTCCAAAATTTGAAGCCTGTAACTGACTTTAACTTTTTCCGACTTTGAATTATTGCCTATAAAAAATACCTTGTAAGATCAGTTTTTTAATAAACAGCAAAAAAATATGCCTTAAGATAAATCTAAGTCCTCTGGAATATAAGTTATTTAAATGTTAGTTAAATAGAGAAGCAAAATATTTATTGCACCATGCACAGTGCTGGGCACACTATATTAATTACATTTATCCTAGTAAAAATACTGAGGTAGGTATTGATATCCTCAATTTACAGATGAGAACATTGAGATTAAAAGAAGTTAGGTAACCTGCCCAAGTTTTCAAAGCTAGCAAATGACAACATAAATGTCAGCCTACAAAACACATAGTCAAAGTATCACCCAATGAAACTTTTCATTAAAGTGTGTGTGTGTGTGTACTAGGTTGTGATTTTTTTTAAATGTATTTCTTAATGGGGATCAAAAGTTTGAAAGCCACTGATCTGCACAGTTTGGAAGATCCAATATTGAAAAACTCTAATCTGAAAACTCATTTAAGAGGCCACCAAGATGGCATCTGAGCTCACGGCATTTGAGCAGTGACTGATCACCCTGACCTTATTCAGGTCAGTCAGAGATCCAAAATAGGAAAGGAGCTGACCACGTTGCTTTCTTGTCAGCAAAAAGGCAGCAAATCATTAATTTTGGCAGGTATAAATTGTCAGCTGATTTTAGCAAATTAAATTATAGGAAGATCACTATGACTGCTTCTGCTATGTAACTCCTATGGGCTGCCAAAAATTTATAGCCAAAAATAGGTCTCATAATCTTGTAGCCTACTCTCTTTTCTTTACTTTTTTTTTTTTTTTTTTTTGAGTTGGAGTCTCACTCTGTCACTCAGATTGGAGTGCAGTGGCCGCTTCCGGCCACCGCAACCTCGACCTGCTGGGCTCCAGTGATTCTTTCACCTCAGCCTTCCAAGTAGCTGGAACTACAGGTGCACGCCACCACGCCCAGCTAATTTTTGATTTATTGTAGAGATAAGGACTTGCCAATTTGCCCAGGCGGGTCTCAAACCCACGGGCTCAGGCAATCCACTCACCTCAGCCTCCCAAAGGCTGAGCCACCGAGCCCAGGCCTACTCTCTTTTCAAGGCTACTCTGGAATAGATAATCCCTAGAATGAGCAAAACACTAGGAGAAAAGAATTTTTCAAGATGTACCCCACTTACTTGCATTGCAGACAATGAAAATGTCAAATCCACTAAATTTAAAACTCTCTACTTGGGTTATTTAGAGGATAGGATGAAAAAAGCATAAAAGAAAATTGTCAATCGAGTAGTTCTTTTGATACTTCTTTTGACTAGGAAAAAGTCACATGTCTGATGACATGTTGAGACAACTTTTTTAAAGCTGTACTAAAAATAATTCGATTTTGACAAAGCTGATTTATTTATTTATTTATTTTTATTATTTTTTGTTTGAGTTGGAGTCTCACTCTGTCTCCCAGACTGGAGTGCAGTGGCACACACCCGGCCACCGCAGCCTCAACCTGCTGGGCTCTGGTGATCCTTCCGCCTCAGCCTTCTAAGTAGCCGGGACTACAGGCATGCGCTACCACGCCCAGCTAATTTTTGATTTATTGTAGAGATAAGGTCTCACCAAGTTGCCCAGGTGGGTCTCGAACCCGCAGGCTCAGGCAATTCACTCACCTCAGCCTCCCAAAGCGCGGGATTACAGGCTGAGCCACCAAGCCCGGCTAAAGCTGGTTTATTTTTACACCTGCTATTTTCTCTATTGATTCTATCTAAAAATAATAAAAGTCATTTTTGTGATGATCTGAATTAAAGCAAATTTTTGCTTAATACCTCATAATAGTTTTGTAAATAGGGCTCTGGTTTGAAAATTAATTTATTGCATGTCTCTGATTTAATTTAGCTCTAGTTGTATTATTTAATATATTACTTAAAGAGCAGAGTTAGCATCCCATTAAAATATTTATTTCAGAATATATACATTTACCCATTTTTATCCATTAATTCAACCAATATCTAAAATCTTACGTTATGCTAAAATGAGTGAATGGCAAACAATTTTTTGATGTGTTTATAATCTATCCACAGAGATACACCTGTAACTAAAGAATTAAAAAGTAATGTGCTAAGCACTGTAATAGAATTATATCCCAAGTCTTTGAGAAACTAGAGGAAAGAGTAAGTCATGTGGGAAGGAGGGAGGCTAAGTGGTATAATTTGAGTCTTGAAGTTGAGCCTTGAAAGCGGTAGGAAAGGGATTCTAGACCAAGAGAACAGCATGGAAAAAGGCAAAATATCTTCTAAAATCTGGAACTTTCTGGAAACAGTAAGTGGCCATTTGCATGGACTGTCTGGAAGGGAGTGTCAGCAGATGACACAAGAGGGAAACATAGGAGTCAAGTCATCTGGAATTTGGGCCTGAAGGAAGAAACATGATCAAATTTATGTTTTTAAAATGTAATTCTAGAAGCAGATGAGGATGATGAATTAGAGAGAAGACAGACTAGAAGGAAAGTATTGCAATGGTCAAGGAAAGACGTGAAGGAAGCCTCAACCATGGCAGCAATAGCAGTGAAAAAGGAATAAATTTATTAAAGAGGTGTTTTAGAGAAATAAGAGGTAGAGCGCTTCTCAGATGTCTGGTATGCTGTGGTTGGTATTGACATGAATTAATATAAGGAAACACTGGGAAGGAGCAGGTAGTACATCTGTGTCACACGTGGGTGGAGCATGGGGTAATAGAGAGAATGATTTCCAATAGGACATGTCGAGTTTGGGGTTCCTACAGGGCAGAATTGCTCTGCTCTGGTTTTAAATATATTGCATGTAAAATTCAGCCTATTAAGGCAAGAAAAAGAAAGATTTTTTTTTTCAGTTGACTATGATAACCTATAGTAGAGGTAGAGATCATACATGACAACTCCCAAAATTTTGGGAAAGACCAAGGAATCTTAAGAACTACACTGGTTTTATCTGTGTGTGCTCTGATAGGGGGCTGTGACTTCTGCATGCCCTTTTGCTTAAGAGTCGATCACATGTGCTTTGGTGTGAAGCCATCCACTGATAGGACAATTAGTTCAGGGGACTGAGAGTGGCAATGATGGTGAAGGTCACAGGTTCTGTTTCCATACAAAAATCAGTCAAAATCTGTAGCCCCACGCTCAACTAGCAGTCTCATAACACTTGGCCATGCATGGATGGATGCATCCAGTCATGGAGATAATGACAAAGCCCAGAAGTCAATAATCCACTCAGTAAATATGACCTACCAGTAGGAAGTGGTGACCTCCCAGGAGAGACACCACAGCAGTCATTAATTGTCAGGCTCTGTGTGCTCAGTGTGTGTGAAGCCATGCAGGGCTAATTTGCAGATAAGAACTCTGAGGTCAGAGAGGGAGAACTAGGAAGTAGGCATATGGCATTCGGGGTCTAATAAGAAAAGTTAAGGGTGAATGAGGATACACCTGCCATTTGAGCTACAGTGAAGGAAGTGGTAAGCAAAGAAGATACCTCAAACCTCATCCCTCTGACAACAAAGGTGAAAGTCTAACTCCAAAATTGGGTGAAAGAATATTCCAAAGACATTTCCAATTTAGTTTCCAATGGCAATGAGAAGATCACGGAGAACCTTTTCTTAGAAAACTGTGCCAACAAAGCTTGGCCACAGTGTCCTCTGCTTTCATCCTTTAGCAAGATCTAGAAACACTGGGAAACATTTTTAAGCACTACAGTTGAAGCGAAGCTGGGTGGGTCTGTGGCTTCTCACCAAGGCTATTCTTCCCTTCTACAATGACTTCCTGTTTCTAAATCAAATGTGGGGTCTACATGACAATACTGCAACATAAATAGGCCCGCAAAGCCAAAAGCAAGGC